CAGCTCTTCAGCTCAAGGCTAGCACTCTACCACTTGAGCCACAGCGCCACTTCCAGCTTTTTTCTTATGTGGTGCTGAGGAATCGAACCCAGGGCCTCGAACATGCAAGGCAAGTGCTCTACCACTGAGCCACCTTCCCAGCCCAGTTTTCAGGTTTTAAGTAACCAGAATTTGATTTCTTGAAACATTATTGCCATAGATAAAATGAAACACATTGAAAAAATTCCCTACAGGATTAATAATTTTGTCTTGAACATTTAAAAAGTGCGTGTATACATTATATATGTACAAAAATAAGACAAAGAGCCGGGTGCTGGTGGCTCATGCCTGTAATCCTAGCCACTCAGGAGGCAGAGATCTGAGGATCACAGTTCAAAGCCAGCCCAGGCAGGAAAAGTCCATAAGACTCTTATCTCCAATAAACCACTAGAAAACCAGAAGTAGTGCTGTGGCTCCAGTGGTAGAGCTCTAGCCTTGAGCTGAAGAGCTGAGGGACAGTACCCAGGCCCAGAGTTCAAACCTCATGACTGACAAAAAAAAAATAAGACAAAGAAATCCACCAGAAATTAGTAGGAAGGAGGTGGTAGAAGGAGAGAACAAGGTTGAAAAAGAGTAAGTTAGGTGGGGTGATTTTGGTCAAATTTATTGTACAGATGCTGAAAATATCACAATGAAGCTGCTTTGTGCAATTAACTTAGCCTAGTTAAAATTTAAAAATAAGTATAAAATATGTATACATATATACATGTATATACACACATACACACATATATATCCACATCCATATAGTATTGTATTTTTGTGATAGGGTCTTTGAAGCCCTGTATGATCTTGAACTTGAGATTTACCTGCGTTATTCCAAATGCTGATATTATAGGAATGCATCACAATACTTAGCTAAGAATATTCTTAAATTATGTAGGGAAATGGTAAGGCAAAATATATGAAAGAGAAATTTCAACTGTCTAGTAAACATATGGAAAATGTTTTTCTTTCTGACAATGATTAAAATATTCAACTTTATACAGTTTGGGACTTCAAATTATCAACAGAGGATGCTTGAAAGGATCTTCTATTTTTACTTTGGTAAATGGCTATTTGTGATTTGACTTTTAAATATCTGCATTTGAAATTTTGTGAATTAGAGCAGCCTTATTAGAAATATAGTTAAAACCTGACAGTAAATATAAATGTATTTCAGCAATATAAAAAAAATCTGTTTGCCGAGTATGCAACCTTTTAAACCAGTGAGTTAGATACAATTTCTGTAAGACAATTTGGTAAAAATTATTAAAAGCTTTAGAAGTTCAAGTGTTTTTAAACATTTTTATTATTGTTTTTGTTTCCTCCAGTGCTGGGAATTGAACCCAGGTCCTTCCTCATTTTATGCAAACATTCGGACATTGAAACTATAACTCTATGCCTAGAAACCCTTGTTTTAATTAAAAAAATTGGAATGTACATTGAGAAATTAGTGATTTCACAAAGATTTATATGCTTAAATAATTAAACATCACTTATATGGACACAAAACATCTAACTATGAGTAATATGGGTCTCATAGAATATCAGTAAATAAAAAAATGGGGAAAGGATATCAATATTGCCTGAAAGCCCCTAGGTTCTCAATTTACAGATTTTAAGTAATCAAAATTTGAGTTCTCAATATTACAAAATCAAATAAACAGAGGAAAACCTTTGCCCAGAGGATGAATAGTTCTGTCTTGAATGTTTAAAAGTGTGTGTGTGTGTGTTTGTTTGTTTGTGTGTGTATAATGTATGTTTGAAAATAGCATAATGAAACCCACCAAAAACTGTTAAGGGTTGTTAAAAATGACTTTTGAAAGAAAAGAGTAGAAGTATTAAGACAGTTTTGTATCATATAAAGTGGAAAATTCTTGGCTGGTGCTGGTAGTTCATGCTTGTAATTCTGTCATCCTAGCTACCCAACAGGCTGAGATTTGAGGACTGTGGTTTGAAGCCAACGCAGGCAGAAAAATCTGATACATTTTTTAATGTTTAGCTTTTATTTATTTATTTTGTTTATTTTTTCATGTTTTTCTTTCTATTATTATCTTTAGGTAGTTGTCCAAAGAGTTGCATTGAATAAAGCAGTTTCTGAAAACAATATAACTCACTCTTATCTCCAATTAATCAGCAGAAAGCTGGAAGTAGAGTTGTGGCTCAAGTGGTAGAGTGTCAGCCTTGAGTAGTTTGAGGCTCTGAGTTACTGGCAAATAAAGTAAATAAATAAAAAGCAGCAACAGCCGCAATCTGGGTTCTGTAATACATGGATTCTTTAGAAGGACGAAAGCCTTCTGAGAAAATGCTATTGTTTGCCCTCAAAATTGGGGGGTAATGAGTGACAGTGTTTTGCTTTTATTCTATGGTTCTACTTTTCTAATTTTATACAACAAATGCAAATTATGTTACAAGGCTAGAGCATGTACCTTATGAACTTTGCCAATTGCCCTTAAAGATTTTTTTTTTTTTGGTCAGTCGTGGGCCTTGAACTCTCGGCCTGGTTGCTGTCCCTCAGCTCTTCAGCTCAAGACTAGCGCTTGGGCCACAGTGCCACTTAAGGACTTGCCTTTGTGATCACTGGACTTTTGTGTGGGAAACAGATGAGATCTAGGCTTACTTGTCGAGTGCAAATGAGATGATCCAGGCTTACCTGGAGAGTGTGCAGGAGTCTTTGCAGTCACTGTCTGTGTCTGCTCAGGAGACAGTTCATCTTTGCTATGAGGGCAACAGAAAAGAAGGAGGGGCGGGTGAGAGGGAATTCGGTGAGAACAGAGCACTCCATGAGAGGTGTCCATGCTGAATAGACTTCAAAGTTACAGGAAAAACATAAAATGAGATTTGGCTATTTTTCACTACGGAAATTAAGTTTGAAAATGCATTTATTGAAGAAAAGCCCATCCTCCCCTCCACCAATGGTTATGTTTGACCAAGGATTGTGGTTTTGTGTGGCCTTGGGAGCATTTCCTTGGTAGGCCAAGCTGGTCTTTGGGGCTTGATGTCTTAGTTCCATTGTGCGTATAGAGTGCCCTTGACGGAAAAGATAATGGACAGGATTTGTGACTGTAATACTTTTTTCTAAAATCTAGGACCTTCAAGGCTCCCAATACTTAGAGTTATGTTTCTATAATGACGCAACTCTGTGGTTAAAGTCATAGATTTCTAATACAGGTGTGTTAAATGTGCATTTTGGACATTGGCCCTGTCTGCAATATAAGCAGCCAGCGGCTAGGCTCAGGGTCTCGGTGTGTGATGGGTGAAAGACACTTCAGAATCAGGTCCAAGTCCTTTGTGGTAGAGCTGCTGCGTAGAGAATGTGGGCCCATGCCAGCGAACTTCATTTGTGATTTATTTTTATTTTGGGCAGCAGTGGAGTTTGACTCAGGGTCTCATGATTTCACTCAGTTTGCTTGCTGATGGCTGGTGCTGTACTACTTGAACCACACCTCTAGTCCAGCAACTGGTGTTTAGAACGTAGTGTGGCAGGGCTACCTTGTGAATCACACAGGAACGTTTGTTTCTATTAACTGTAAGGTTCCCAAGGAATTGTAGGTATGTTAGTATCACCTATGTAACCTAATTTTCTGTGGCTCATGATGCTCTGAAGATCTAAATTAGTGGTTTGATGCTCCATACCTACAGGTTCTTCAAGCTTGGACAGGATCGAGAATGGCACCCATGTATTTCTGCCATGCCCCAAATTTCCAAGGAGTACAATATTCAAAAGGGTAACACTCATCCTTGCCTGAGGACTGACCCATCAAAATAGATGTCACCTGTGATAATGTCACAGGCCACTGATCAATTCAGACTCTTGTGGAAGTTGATGCCACTGTTCTTGTCCTCTTCCCTCTCCCCGCATCCCGCTGTCTTTATATACTAGGAGCTTAATAAATACATTTTGGCTGGGTGCTGGTAGCACATGCCTGTCATCCTGGCTACTCAGGAGGCTGAGATGTAAAGGATCATGATGCGAGGCCACAGCTTGGGTAGAAAAAGTTCATTAGACTCCATCTCCAGAATAAACTAGCAAAAGCAGGACTAGGGTGTGGTTCAAGTGGAAGAGCACCAGCTGAATAAGCAAGCAGAGCAATAGCCAGGACCTGAATTCAAACCTCAATCCTACACCAAAAAGGAGATCATTTTTAAATCAGCCCTCGCCATAGCCACCATTCTAGTAGCTCAGTTTCTTTTCTTTCTTATTTAATGGATATTTGTGGATAGTCAGATTTCCTTCCTCTCATGACGACTCTGGTTTCCTTGTTTTTCTCTGCTATGAAAAGGAAACGGATGCAGATGAGAGTTATAAAAAACACTGCCCATGGCAGTCGATATAAAGCAGCAGCCTGCATTGTGTAGGAGGAAGTGCCAGGTGCTCTTTCCTTGGCCTTTACGACCAGGTGTAATTCAGCCTCTAAGCTGGCAATCCACAACCACAGTCCAGAGAAATAATTGGCAAAGCTGGGCCACCCTGTCTTCCATTGGCTTTTATTTCAAAGTCATGTGAAACGGGCACACGCATAGGCTAGTGAGGCGAGAACATTTTCTTTGTCTTCTTGGAAAAGTTTGAAGGGAAAGAGAAAAGTTCCCCCCTCCCT